CATTGCAACTTGATTAGGTCTATGATGCTGTGAAGTGCTGTCCATATGTGACATCACATAAACCAACCAAGTTAGTCTCTGTTGATAAACACCAGGGGATGGGGAGGGTTACCACGGGTAAGAGTGAAAATAGTGTTTTATGTCCAGGGGACATACCTGGAGATTTGTGTGACGTCATGCTTTGTGGGGGAGTTATTGTAGGGGATTGTGGGATAGAAGGAGATCGTGGAATGCGCTGATTCTCATTTTAATTTAATTTTTTTTTTGGATTGGAGATCTTTGCGACATCATTATTTATTTTTAAATTTAATTAATTAATTGGGTGTGGACAAAAACTGCCCAACGTTACAGATTCTGGTTGGATTTTTTAAAAAATAAATTCTTCATCAACATTAGAGTTTCTTTCAGGCCGCCTCCCTTCCTACCCGAAGCACGATATATAAAATATATCGGAAGGCTACTATAATTGCTGTCCGCCAGACCCCCCCCCCTCCACAATGGAAATTTTAAGTGCACCCACCGGAGAAGAATATACGAAAGAAACCCGAATCTACATTTGATCAGTTCTATTACCGTAAGTAGTTGATATAGACTACGAAATTTTTTTTTTTTCACAAGTTACGAATGGAATTCTACTGGCATCACGAACACGGGGCCGTTGAAGTTTATCTGGGAACTCTTGCGCCCTGGGCAGTGGCCTAGGGGTCGTCCATAAATGACGCCACACTCGTAGGGGTAAGGGGGTGGGTCCGTAATTTTGTGACAGTGTGTGATGAGGGGGGAGGGGGGTTAAGATGATGCGACGTCACACTTTTGCATTATAAAAAAGCAATGTTAGAAAACGAGTTTTAGCCGTTATTTCGTGTTTTCGTAAACGGATTTAATAAATTGTAACAGGAATTGATCAAAATATTCGATGTTGACAGAGTTCTGACAAGATTTTGGAAAAATATCGAAATATCGATGTTTTAAGAAAAATTAACAGCACTTTTGATTGGGGGTTGTAGGCTGAGGTGTGACATTTTAGGGGGGGGGGGGGGGGGGTCTGGCTTTTTGTGACGCCGTGTGACGGAGGGGGGGGGGGGGTAAAAATCGTCAAAAAAAGCGTGACGTCATTTATGGATGACCCCTTTAGATAATATTATAATTAATGTTAAACTGATTTGATTATGCTACAACTAATTCAGAAAATTGTGAATGCAGTCCAACAATTACATTATCTTTTAAAGAAAAACTCAACACATTTTTGGTATGTGATATTTATTCAAACAAAAACAATACATTGAATTAATGTGTCGATTTATATAAGTGACAAAATGAGTATGTATATTGCTAAATTATTTAGCTCTTGATTTGCAAGTGAACACGTTTTTTTTTCAAAACCTTAACGAAAATTATTAGTAGATTAGTTAAAAAAAAATTATAGATGTGATTTAGATCACTGGATAAAAAGAAATGTTTAATGTGGAGATGCTACAAAGTTTAGAAAAGACTAAATGGATCTTGTTCAGATAAGACACGCACCTAATGAAAAAAAAAAAAAAAAGTTAAGCCCCGCCACTTATGACCTAGTTCTATGTCTCGACATTTGAAAATTTACTCACACACTATAAAAATAACTTATTTTCTGCCTCTAGGGTTAGGGTTGGGGTTAAGGGTACCACAATACAAACAAATTATTAATGACATTTCCCAATTTCACCCTCTTCAATAAAATTTAAATATACACATTTCATTTCATTTTTTATAATCTTTTTTTTTTTTAATTTTTTCGGTGGCGGGGGGGGGGGGGGGGGGGGGGGGGTTAATTTTTTGGCAGAGTTTATCTGAACAAGATCTGAAAAAACAACTAGTAATTTTAAATGATAACGAGGTTTTATAATTTAAATTGAACACCTCTTACTGCAAATAGCACTATACTACATAGAATAAAATCAATTTGAATTTCAAAGGATCTAAATAAGCAGAGTAAAGATTGATAACATATAATAAAAAAGTGAAACAATTATAGACTACTACTCTAGGCACACAAATTATTGAGGTTTCAATCTTTATACAATTTATTTGTTTTGATGATCAACCCAGACTAAAGTAAAAAAAAAAAACGTAATTTTTACATAAGTTATTATTTCCAGAAAGTTTGTAGGCATTTGAACAACTTAGATCACATAATTAAACATCATAATGGTTCAAAATACAACATATTCATGCATTAAGAGTGGGTGAGTTATTGTGGCATAGGTATAAATTAACCGCTGGGATGTGACTTGTAAATATTCATCTGCCCCATAGCCAAATGGTTGACTTTCTGTGTGAATAACTCTATATATTTATCAGTGTGGAATGTCAACCTTTCAGGCAATACCAAACATTAGTACTCTAGACCAATCGAGAGTTTCTTCCAGGCATCTCTATCGCCCCCGAAAAAAATGGAATTTAGATAGAAAATAAATGCTTTTAACAGTGACACCCCCCCCCCCCCCACCCCCAGAAAAAAAGTCTGGAAGAAACAATAGTCCAATCTGTTCCTAGATTCATCTGTTATCTACCCCAGCTATGCCAATGACCAACTGATATTTAATCTCGTTCAAAGATAATATCTTAGTAACAAGCAAGTGACTGTACGTTGGTGATATTAATATATTTTTTTTAAAAAAAACAGTGTCAACAAAAAATCTTTAAATATTTTGGTCATGTACACATCAGAAATGTAAAAATGTGATTATTTAAGACAAAATGTTTTAATTATTTTAAAGTTGATAGGTGTACTAATAAAAATTAGATAATACAGTAATTGTAATTATGGATGGACAACCGGTGTGATATAATTGAGTAAAGCTGAATCACAAATTTGAATACACAAAAAAAAATTCAATCCTGTGCATTAAAGACACAGTGTAAACTGTGAAAAAAAATGTTTCATGGAATATTTTTTTTCATCACAGAATGGTTTTGATCCTTGCCAAAACAGGCTGAGGATTTGGATGGAATTCTGATGTTAATTGGACAGTTTTGTAAACAAACTTGACAGTCAGTGACTATAAATAACCCAACAATAAATGTTGCATGCAGAACAAGTAATGACTGAAAAATCACAGAGGTGAAATCAAATATAGAAATATTAAACTGTAAGTAGAAATGTTGCTATCAGCTCTGATGGGCTTCTGACTAGTCTAGCCAGCACTCATTAGTTTATAAAATCCTCAAGTCTAGTAAGCACTCATTATTTTCTGGCCAGTCACCAAGTCTAGCCAGCACTCATTATTTTCTGGCCAGTCACCAAGTCTAGCCAGCACTCATTATTTTCTGGCCAGTCACCAAGTCTAGCCAGCACTCATTATTTTCTGGCCAGTTACGAAGTCTAGCCAGCACTCATTATTTTCTGGCCAGTCACCAAGTCTAGCCAGCACTCATTATTTTCTGGCCAGTCACCAAGTCTAGCCAGCACTCATTATTTTCTGCCAGTTACGAAGTCTAGCCAGCACTCATTATTTTCTGGCCAGTCACCAAGTCTAGTAAGCACTCATTATTTTCTGGCCAGTCACCAAGTGTAGCCAGCCCTGATGAGTCTGATGAATATCTAGGCTGGCCATATAACTGTTACACAGAACAGATCTCCACAAGGTTAACAATATTATCAACTGATGTACAACATTATCAACTGACGTACATTATCAACTGGCGTACAACATTATAAACTGACGTACAACATTATCAAATGATGTACAACATAATTATAATCAATTGATGTACAATTTTATCAACTGATGTACAGCATTATCAACTGATGTACAACATTATCAACTGATGTACAACATTATCAACTGACATACAACATGATTATTTTCAACTGATGTACACCATTATCAACTGACATACAACATTATCAACTGATGTACATTATCAACTGATGTACAACATTATCAACTGATGTACAATATTATCAACTGACATACAACATTATCAATTGATTTACATTATCAATTGATGTGCAACATTATCAACTGATGTTCAACACTACAAGCTTCATCCACAACAACCCAGATTCACAACGACCAGAGCATAAGTCCATTATCCCCACAAAAACATCAGTTTGTACAAATACTCAAATGGAATATCTGACATGTTAGTGCTAGAAGTCATAAAAAAACTATTGTGCCTTATGAAAGCTGCTAGGTTTAAACACTCACAACAAAAAGTTCAGACCAATCTAAGAAATTCCTGTCAATCAAATCCTCATGTAAAAGATTGTGAAACTGAAATTATTTACGCAAGGTGTAAAATATTATGCATATACTTATATTGTAACTGTATTTTCCTGTCACGTATCACTTACATTATGCATGGAAAAGTCAAATCTAGCCTCGTGTGGTTGAGATATAGAACATGGGTAACAAACATAGAAGACTTGAGTTTTACATGAGTGTTAGTGTTGGGTCTATAAGATTTTATGCCAAGCACTAAACAATAGACTCTGTCAATGGAATTAAAGTAGACATTGCACTTTGGATTTATTATTCTACTAGATCAGGGGTCTCCAAACTACGGCCCGCGGGCCGGATGCGGCCCTCGAAGTCCTCTCATCCGGCCAGCGGAGATCTTTTTGTCCAAGGAAAAATCGTTTGTTGGTATTGGCTGAGGAACTTGGCCGAGAAAAATCAAAGACTTGCCTGGAAGAACTGGCCCCCGAACTGAATTTTTATAGTTAATGCGGCCCTCAGACTGAAAAGTTTGGAGACCCCTGTACTAAAGCCTGACAAAATAAAATGTCTTGTTCTGTACACTGGTCAGTGCTGGTAGAAGTTTGGCCAGCTTTATCAATTTCATGTATGTACATTACTACCAATAACTTAGTGGTAGCCACAAAACAATTATCATTAATAAAAGAGAAAAGAAGATGCAGTTTAGACGTTCACAAAACATTGTTAAATTATATATTAACTAAAATTAAGTTTTTTTTTTTTAAAAAAAACAACCTTTGTATTGAATGAATTTGGGCAAACAAACAAAGATTAGAGGTAGATAAAAAAAAATGAAATCACTAGTAGAGCCCAGTAATGTATAAGGATACACATTATATCATTTTGTAAATGTAGACACATTACAGAACAATATGCAACAAGTTGTGCACTTTAAATACAAAGAATGGTTCTTATCTCCCTTGAAAAAAATTTAACAAAGTGTGAACTGACAAAGGCAGAGAATCACCTCTACCACCCTGTCAAAAAAAAATACCCAAAGTTTATATTACCCTGAATGAAAATAATCTCCCTTGTATAAATACAACAATATCTGTAAAGTCTAAATGAGGGAGGAATGTAAATTATGAAATGGCAAAAGTATTTAGCTAACTAAGGGTTTAACAATAACTCCATTATTTCAATTGTATTAACTGCTGACATTGCACTCACATGATTATTTTTTCTTAAATATCAATCACACATTTGGGGAATGTTAATTGTTACAAACAAAATTTATCTTGGAATGTATAACTATGATGAGAAAATGATTGAGGAAAACACTAAGACAGAAGATTCATACACCGGCAGTGATTCAGAAATACGTAAGTCCACTTAGTAATATGAGACATTTGAGAGTTACAACACGGAACTTGATTCCTCATACAACATTAGCACTAATGTGACATACAAACATGTAACATTGTCACAAATGTTTCACCATCAAAAATTGTCACAAATGTTTTATCATAAAAAATTGTCACAAATGTTATGAAGTTTCAACATGGAAAATTGACAAAAGATTGTAAAAATCAAAATTATTTTTAAACGATTTTTTTTTTCTGATTGTAAGTTTAAAAGTGAAACTGCAAAACTAAAAAAGTAAACAAAAAATCTCAACTGGAGTGTTCTTTACATGTGATCAACATTTGTTGTTTTTATCATTGTTTTTAGAGTGCCTACTAAAAAATGACATAACATAAAGAAATGTCCCTGAATATTTTCTTGTCAAAAGTAAGTAGTTTAGTAAATTTTGAAAGTAAACATGACAAGCTACTCCTGATTACATTAGGACGAAACTAATGGAATTCCCTTTTGAGTGTCTAAGAGTCTCTCAAATATGATAAAAAGATCTTTCGCCTCCATCGCGTGTAAGGACTGTTCATACATTGACCTTTTGAGAAAGCCTATGTTTAATTTTTTCTGGCACAGCTTACATAGGAAGAGTTCCAAGAGCTTGTCAGTGGTCTTCTGTTCAAGGGGCTGGAACTTGGACAGCACTAGTATGATGTACTCCAGGAAATGCTTCAAGCTCTGCGAGGGAAACAGTCAGATTTTAACTCAAAGTGTGATATATGGTACAACAATAAACACTGCATTCATTAAATGTCAGGACAATTTTAACAGAATGGATGGTGTAATTCATTCAGATTTTAACTCAATGTGTGCTATATGGTACATTCATTAAATAAGCTTGAAAAGTCTATGTAATAATACAAGAAATTTTTAAAATCTTTTTAAAAATATGGCAAGCTATAAAATTACAGTTGCATTTTTAAAAATTGGACTTATTTATCAAATGTTAAAAAATATTCAATTTTGGTTGAAAAATATGCTCTCTGTCAGCAACCATTTCAAACCTATTTCAGGAAAATCTTAACATAAAGGATGGTGACTGTTCTATGAACACCGTAGGATTCTATTAACAGACAAGTCCATGCATCTTAAGAACAAATTTATTATAGTATTCTTTGAAATACCCTGCCCCTAAGCTGATCCTATAAACTAAAAGTACACACAAATACTAAGATGAAACAAGCATTAACATTAATCCCAACTCTTGATAATAACACAGCAGTGATCTAAACCTAAACCATATTGTCTAACCCTAATACTTCTTACTTAAATATTTACTGTAAAATAAAACTGACCTAATACTATCCATAAAACCCAACATTAACCAAATTAATACAACTTTGAAACACACTACTCCTATCATTTGTTGGATGCTTCAAAATATTAAATAGTGTATTGACCTTGGGAACTTTCTTTCAAAAATTAACCACATGTTTACATTATTAATCATTGTTTACATAAACATGACAAAATGTATGCCAATTATTTGTGTGTAGGCGTTAACAAAATTGGAACAAAAAAAAATTTAATGATTGAAGCGCAGGTAACTGCAGGTGAGTGCTTACAATTTTATTTTGTATCAAGCCACACAATCTCAGCTGTTTACATTACCCCTGTGTACCCCACCCTGATCATAAAACTCTTGATTATGTGATCGCTCATTATAAAGCCCATGTACATGAAAAACTTGAACCCTGATTACATACAGACCCCAAGATGGCATGAGGTCTGTATATATGAATCCCAAGGTTTCTTATCTAACATAAATTATTAGTTTCATGTCTAGAGGAGGACAGTAGAACGAGACAAGGGTTGCCGAGTTTACATTGAAGCAGATAAAGAGAGCCGCACAAAACAGAGTCCGATGGAGAGGTGTGGCTGCAGCCCTTTGCTCCTCAGGACCACAAAGGAATAAGCAAAAGAATTGACAGTTTCATGTCTAGCTAAAGCAAAACCTCCCTTTAAATTTCATTATGCAGTTGAAAATAAAAAGAACATAGAGACGACAATTATGAATGATGAGTCATCTTAAATCTATCTGTTAAGGAGATCAGGGGAAGGGTGTGGTCAAATTGTAGATCACATCACTGCTAACACTGAAGTCTTGAGTTCAGACACTGAGCTTGTGTTTAAAGAACCTACAGCCATCTGTGATTTTTGCCTGAATCAATTGATTAAAATAAAGAGCTGGGCTTACTATAAATTTGTTTGTTACAGATAAAATTCTACATTACCTCAACTATCAGTAAAGGGAATTTCACATATAACAAGCAGGACAGAAACAGTTTTAATACAACACATAGGAGAAATATTTGTAATGCATTAACAGCTTTATGTTGCAGAAAATATTTCAAATAGATGGCTATAAATTCTTGATTTATTTTTTTGAAAACAAAGGAATTCAAAATACACATCAGGGCATTCAAACATAAATTTTTATGTGGAAGTATCAAAGCCACTGGTTCTAGAGAAAAGGGTGTACAACTAGACAATAGTAACATTAAAATCATATCAGGAAAGTAGTACTGTAGTACAGTAGAAAAAGATCTGAATTTTTTGCAATATCTAGATTTAATATTTTCTAAAGTGTGAACCATTCATGTAACAGTAATGGATATTATAAAAATAAGGAATAAATGTTTCCAAAACCATTATTTAACCCATTTTTTATACCATCTATTTTCTAAAAACAGTATTGAAATTGCCATAACTACTAAATATATTTCATATTGTTTAAAAAAAGTATTCTTTCAGTTTTAGACTAATAAATATTCCATTTATTATGCTCTTGCCTTAGCCATTCTATGAAAACTAAAAGGGATTTCTGATATTTCCTTTTAGTTTCTTAATTTCTAACTGTAAATCAAGAACTTTAAATAAATCACGCACTTTTATTAGTTACCAAAACCATGCAACATTTTGAAAATCAGATTGGATGCATGTAATGCATAATTAATTAAAAACATTTACTTTCCCCAACATAAGTCAGGTAATCATCAGAGCTGGGTGGACTCAAAGAAGTCCTAACTTCACAAATCCAAATTTCAGTCTAACAGCCAAATGCTCTAGCATTCAGCCACTCTGTCCATTAAATGGGGAATATGTGTTCCATAAAAGAGGAATATGTGTCACATAAAAGGGGAATATGTTCAATTTCACAAACTGTGCACCTCTTTTAAGATAGGGTGTCGCCTAAGATTTTAAACTTCATTATTGTTCAAGATGACTACAATTAAAAACTACATTTATTTACCTTTAATTTGATACCAATTTTATTTATCAAATTTAATCGGTAGCCTGGAAAATGATTTGTGAAAAAAAAGCGTTTATTTTTAAATGACTACAATGATATGACCGATTTTCAGTGATACGGTGGGTTATTTTTTTAAGGAGTGTTGTTGTGATGTGATTGACCGTTCAATGCCGTTCGGCAGAAATGTGTCGTCTGCTAGATTTTTCCCCATTCAAATACACGGCGAGCAAAATGGGCAGGCTTAGTTTGCTGTTGTCTCGATCAAGTTATTTTTTATAGGTTTTGTTTTTACCCTGCATGATTTTAATACATTATTGCAATTAGTTTAAGTAGAAAGCAATTTATAATTTTTCTATAGTTTAGAATATATTTTCAGTATGGTTAGAAAAATATTAAATAAAGCATTTCACGTTTTGCTTACTTTCATTATGTTCTGCTCAATATTCTCAGCGATTAGACCAAAAAAATGTACAAATGGCAAGTTTGCATCAAGATCTAATTGTCAATTGTTATAGCTAGACTGGTTCCGTTGAATTATACGCAAAAATAACAATTTTAAGTGTATGAGCCGACCCGTGGCAAATTATACGCCGCTATTTAGTTCTTTTATTTTCTACTTTTCAGTAATTCATAATTTGAATGCTGCCACTGAAAATATTTGCTTTAAAACACTAAAACCGTCCTTTCCCCCAACCCCTACCCCCCCCCCCCCCCCCCCCCCCCCGCGGGAAAGCAGCCTCCTCTTAGTTACCTCCACTAAGTTTAAAATCGTTTCAAACTAAATTATATGCCCCTAATAGCCGTCACTAAACCCTGCTCTACGATTGTAAACATTTAGCGTGAACCACAGCTCACCAGACCATGTGGGGGTGGGTATGGTAGCGATATGCCTAGAGAGGAAGAGAGGGGGCTGCTAAGAGGCGCGCTTACAGCTTGATGTTTTCTAGGGTCTCCAAGAAGAGAATTATATATATAGATATTTCTGAAATGACCATGAAACATTGTTAAAAAAAATAATCATGGTATTGTCGTTTTTGGCAGCCATCATTACCATGACGACGGTTTAAAAAAGTAGGTCAAGCGACAGCCTATTTTAAGATGTAGACCATTGGGTTAGTAAACATTTTTAATAAAAAAATATAAGGAAAAACATTCAGTGTTATTCATTCTATTCTTTCGTCCACTTTCGATTCAGACATATGTCTTATTTTACCATTTCCAACAATTCTCAATGAAGCATTAAGAAAGTAATGTCTAGATATTCTAGACTTCAAGGAAAGCTTAGAACAAACAAAAATTCACCAACATAAATTTAAATATAAAACATTAGAATCAAATGAAGTTTTTTCTTACCCTGTGCAAGTGCAACAAAATTTTCCCAAGATCGGTTGAGTTGTCTTTCAGTAGAAGTAAAATGTCTTGTGATGTCAAGATGGGCTCCTAGAGAAAAACAACACTGGGTCATTCAGTTTAAATGTGACAAAATAAAACAGGTAGTGTCATTTTCAACTTTTTAGCTATTTTCTGTCTAAAAACTCTAATCCATATTTGAAATAACAACAATCACTAAGGATTTCTTTCAGCTCATTAATCATAATATATATTTCTTATTTTTGAAAAAATTATTGAATGTTTTTATTTTCAATTTTTTTTAAAAATTACATTTGATGGTAGGTCTAATAAATAAAAAACAAAAACGTTTATCCTACCTAAAAAATTATTTTATGAAAAACGTGTAACTTTATTTAAATTGATATAGAAAAAATTAATTACATATTCCCAAACTAAATGTTTCAGAATAAAAGTTGTAGAATTGCATACAGCATTTCATTATCCTCAATTTGATGTATAACATGCAAATATGTGCATAGAGAAAAAATACATTTTAAAGAAAACCATAGCAAAAGAGCAATAAAAATGTCCTGAAATGTCAATACAGCTGAATTTTTTTATTCTGAAAGTATGTAAGGGAAATAACTAGAACAATGATTTTATATCATTTATCTTTATTTTAACCAGAGCAAAGATGCCAATAGCACCATGGATTTCTCACCCCTGAATTATTTCTGAAAATAATTATTGGCTAATATCCTTAAGAGTTCAGGCTTAGAGAATAAAAAATGTGGTACTAACACTGAGCTGATCAATCCAGTCAAACAAGACTCCACACACCACTTCAGGGTTGTCTTCCCTAGCCAAATCTTGCCATGCTTTATCCTTTTTGTTTAGCAACTCCTGCTCAAGAGAGTTCAGTTTTACATCCTTATTACAAAATTTTAGAGGTTTTATATTTAACTGATCTAACATTCTATTCTAATGCATGAAATAAACATAAAAGATATTCAGGCAGACTTTTAGTAATCATTTAGTGGGAGGATTTGGGGAGGGCTAAGGAAACAACTAAAACACAACTCATCACAGAAGACACCAGTAGTATAGGCAACTTATTGTGGCAAAAGAAGCTGAACACAAAAGAGTTCTCATCACAATACTTTCTACAACAGACTAACATTACCTCTAGAGCATAAAACAATACCATATACAACAGACTAGCATTACTGTTATGATGTTATCATGGTATTTAGGTGAGAATGAATGTTGGTGCAGAAGAGATAATGAATGCATGGATTGATGACACAGATGAAAGAAGCAAAAAAAGAAGTGATATCTAACAATAGAAACTGGTTGCTTTGATATGCTAGCTAGGTTGTTTGGGTTGGGTAGTGAATGTGAGAGGTACTCCATGTGATGTCGATATCAAGGATAGTTGTATGCAGATTCAAATGAGAACAGTAGTTGAATAAATATGGAAGAAGAAAATAATAGGCATTGTGGCAAATAATTATGGTACTTGTCATTGTGATGTCACTGATCATGGTAGTGGTATTCTTTAAATGGTGGTGGATCACGTAAGGTCAAGCTCGACCCTCTCACACAACCCTAAGAATTACCTCAAGAGCATCCACCTTGCTGCTAATCTCCACAGCATGTTTAGACTTACCCATTTCAACAATACTATCAAAAAGCTCTGGAACCTCTCACACAACCCCAACAATTACCTCTAGAGCATCCACCTTGCTGCTAATCTCCACAGCATGTTTAGACTTACCCATTTCAACAATACTATCAAAAAGCTCTGGAACCTCTCACACAACCCCAACAATTACCTCTAGAGCATCCACCTTGCTGTTAATCTCTGTAGTACGTTTGGACTTATCCATGTCAACAATCTTATCACAAAGCTCTTGTACTGTGAACTTTGCCTCACACAGGGTGGATGACTCTTGTCTTGTGTAATCCATCCCAGCCAAATCCTGCTGGGAGGTGTTGACGCCTCCCTCCTCACCACTCCCAACATCACCATTTTCAAGCTTCTCATCATCATCCTCCCCATCATTGCTGGAAGAGTTTGCCTGTTGGTTGAGCATCTCACCGTTGCTGAAAGAGGCACTGGATGAGCCTAGAAAGTCTTGAGAATCCCCCAGCCCTAATGAGTTACCCAGGCTGTCTGGGAGGTCACGGCTGGTTGAGCAGCCGGCCAAGGATTCCAGATCGGGTGGGGTGGGTTCAATTGGTTTGTTGCGCAGGTTGGAGAGAGAGCCACCCCTACCACACAGTTCAAGTAGGCGTTCACAGCAGACGTAAATTACCTGTAACATTATAACCAATGATAAAGTATGAACAAGAATAACTATTGTAAAACATTTTTAAATTATTTTAATAATATGATAAGTGTTTTGTAAAAAAAGGTAAATAATGTCATTCTATCATTAATCTTCATCAAACCTTTTTAAAAACTTATTAAATATCTATAATAATTGTTAGATAGGCTTGATAGTTGCAATCAATTATGTAAAAAAAAAATATTTTATGTCAAGAAAATATTAAATAACTTTCTTACTTTAGGAATGTGTTTTAATTTTCTGGCTTCGTAACCATGAAGTATTTCTGTTTGCCTTTTCAAAGATTTACTAAATGTCAAAGGCATTGCACCTTCAACTCTAGAGGGGGTAAACAAATTTTTTTAATCATATTATGTAGCCAACAACAGAAAAAACATAGACACTTTAAAAACATACTCAGAAAAACACCTCTTCATAAAGGAAAATTGATTTTATGTTGATTACTTACTTTGATGGAAATATGATGAAATAAATTTTGATTTCTCTTTCAAACATGTAACATGTTTTTAACTGTTTTCTGGTTTGAATGGACCCTGGTCTGGAAAGAAAATGACAATGTAAGCAAAAAGATAGGCAGATGGAGTAGAATACCATTGTAATGGGAAACACTGGGGATGAGGGGAGGGGGGGGGGGGGGTGAAAAGAGCTTGTGTGTAAATGAAAAGTAACAAATAGAGCTGAAATTTTCACCAATCAATTTGTAATGAAAATTGATATAAGAAAGTTTAAGTTGATGCAGATTTTCAACTTTTACACAGGGCAAAGCCACAACTGTTTAAGTTTAGTTGTAAAATTGTAACCTGAGGCAATCATGCCTATGGCAAATCTTTGTTCCATGTAACAAATGATGTCAGTTGGAAATGGGCCTCTGCTGTGTAGAACTAATAAAACAGTGTTGTGAAACTGGAAGATTGTTTCTAAGCAGTGGCGTAGCTACCGTAAAGCTAGCGTAAGCAAGGCATAGGGGCCCAAGGCAAATAGGGGCCCTTTTTCGAAAGTTTGAGGGGGGGGGGTGCAAATTGAAAGTCTGAGGGGGGGTGCAAATTGAAAGTCTGCGGGGGGGGGGGGGGGGGGGTTCAAATGTGCAAATTGAAAGTTTGAAGGGGGGGTTGCAAATTGAAAGTCTGAGGGGGGGTGCAAATCAAAAGTTTGTCCCCGGTCGCCGGGAACGGTCGCTACGTCTCTGAGGGGCCCACAAACACTTTTTGCATAGGGGTCCAAAAATCCTAGCTACGCCACTGTTTCTAAGCCTCAAATGTGCAGCAAGACCAATGGTCTCCATACATGTTATAATCTTCATGACAGACCAGACCCTGCTTCCTCATCAAATACCACACTTTAGTTTTAAAAGGAAGCTTATACTAAAGTCAATGTATGATATCAATCTCCACATAGTGGAATGATTATGTTTTTACTCAGCAATTATAGTCAACAGAAGTGACTGAAGTAGAGAAATACTTCTTCTTCTTCTTCGTTCTTAATTTTAGTGTTGTAAGGGATCCTCTCCAACACATGTATAAGTGTCAACTGATTATGCGCCATTGAGGCAATTGACTCCGATTTCAGCCTGCTTTTTTTTTGGATTTGCTTCCATGGCCTTTGCCCAACCAAGAACAAACTACACGGCAGAAAGTTGTTTGATTTTGGAGTTGTCTCTCCTAGAAGAGTGGCTGACCCCAGCTAACAAGCCTCATCTGCCCGAGGGTTCAAACTCGAGACTTTTTGGTTTAGCAACCATGAACTTTACCAGCTCGACCATGCAGACCCCTAAAGAAATACTAACCTTCTTGACCTAACATACTGCACTGCCTTCTGGGCACTGACTCTGTTGTTGAATATCAAGAAACAAGCAATGATAAGCCCAGTCCTTCCTGTAAGTATTTAAAGCAAAATGGTTGACAAATTGGAAAATATGGAGAGCAATCAAATATAGACCTAAATATCAGAACTACAGAAATACCATTAGTCACCATTATTTATATATTGCATAGATAATAGCAGCCAAAATTGAAAAATCATAATTTTTTTCTTTAAGAACATTTATTTAAAACTTTATTTTAAAACTTAAAAAAAAAAAGCAGGTTAGCAAGATTTCTTCAATATAGAAAGAGATAACAGCTAAATTCTATTACTTTAAATTTAAGAACTATGGTAAATTACACTCTACTAGTTTTATGTCTGATGATCTATCTGTGCATGTATTTTATCAAGAATGAATGAAATACACAGATCACACCTAACCTACACCAAGAATTGAATACATAACCAAGGTGTGTTATTTTCCTTACAAATTAAAGACATTTTCAGGTACAACCCAAGGTCTTTGTCAATACGTCCATAGTACCTGTAATTGTTTTTAACTTGTGAGGAAACTAACAGTACCTGTTTTATTACTGAAGCTGCCATTTCTAAATAAAAAATCAGACATCTCACCTAACCCAGCATGACAATGTACAGCAACTTTCCCTGAAGACAAACTAAACTGCATAACTTTAACTATACTCAGTAGTGTTGAGACTGATGCCACTCCGTAATCCATTCTGCAACAGAAAAACAATAAACCACTTTTGCTCCACATTATAGTACATTTTTGTTAGCAGTATATAGCAGTATTTTAGAATTAAACTAATAATGGGTTATTTCCCATTGCTTGTAAATAAAGGTTATTATAGTATAGGCTTAATATAGCATAGGTCTGTTGGAGGTATTATTTTATAATTGAACTAAAAATGGGGTATTTCCCATTTATATAAATAAGATTTATTTTTTGTTAAGCTAAGTAATAGACTAACAACACTGTCAATTCTAAACAAATATACTCACAATGCGAAATTGTAGAAATATACTGAAAAATTGAGAAAAAAATGTATTATTTTATTTGACATCACTTAGCATTTCAAGGGTTTTAAACATGTATAACAGGTATAACCTGTAGGCCTATTGTAGAACCTCCAAAAAAACTAAAGATAGAATATATTGCCCAATTTCTTTAGGTTTATGGATAATATATGAAGGGCTCAGTGGAAAAAGTACTTAAGTTACATTTTTTTCAAAAATGGGTTAAGACCGGTATATTATTTGATTACCTCCTCTTAACCATCTCTGTAAATTTGGGCCATGGAAAAAGTACCGAAGTAGCTTAATTCGAATACTTTGCATAAGCTGTTTTGGTATTTCAGCTTCCATTTAAAAACTTTGCACTCATTTTTCTCAAAACTCTCAAAATACACTTAAGTACTTTTTCCACTGAGCCCTTCATATAGACTAAATATTTGATACATTTTTACAGTATTTCATTTTAATATTAAACTAAAGTAAAGATTGCTCTTTAGACTTAGCAATCCATTGGGAAGATGAAGTTGAGTTCATATGTTTCTCAACCTCGGCATATTAAGGGATAGTGTGGTCAGCACTATGCTTTACTTCAGAGTTGGGTGGTCTCAGGGACAATCCGCTGACTTGAACCTGGATTTGAACTTGATACTTTTGTGTTAACAGTCTAGCACTCTACCACTAGGCAACACCCTCCCACCAATTTTAATAAAAGTTAAATAAAAGGGATTTCAATTTTTTTTGTCTCATAACTCTTAACAGGGCCTTTTTATAATCAAAAGCAGCGTAGTGCCTAACCATCTATTTAGGTTTGTTCTCTATAATCCTCACAGCCAAGTAACTAACAATCTATTTACCTTTGTTTTCCATGAGAATCTGTGGGCTGTAGGAGAAACCACTTTCATCATTACCAAACCCACAGTGTGCGTGTTCACCTGGTTGTTGCAGATTAATAACTGTCTTCACACTATGTCTGGAATATAGTTATGGTGCATACACATAAAATATTTTTTTTTATATAAACTTTCAAAAATTGTGTATACATTTTTTTTTCAAAATTAGTCATGTTTAAACACATTAAATACAATTATTTGGAACAGTTACCTGTAAATTAAAATTGTATCTGCTTTAATTCTAAAATAACGTAACTTTAAAAAGTAATCTCAATGCCTAAATATTATTTAATTAATAACTTTACTTACTCCTTAAAACTTTTAATCATCTGATACTTTTCTATATTTGCATTAGACAAACGGGCCATGGCTAAAATGTTGTCTGTGACCCTAAAATTTAAATAAAATTAATATTTACATAAATTGTCTCAGCACTGAGTGACAGCTTTAGAGCTGAAAAACTCAACCATTCAGATTCAATGAATAAACCAGAAAAGAGTGGCAAGAGACAGTGGACCACTTTAACTGAGACCCAATGTTCCTCAAGGAACAAAAAGAACAATAAAGATGATTATTAACAAGTAGTCTAAAGTAGAGTCTCACCATTCAGAGTACACCCCTGGTATGACCATCTGTTCTGGCTTCCAATGCTCTGTCGTGCAGTACTTGCACTGCTTGCCCCCACAGAACATCTTGCACTGGCTCTCACCTGGTATAACCTTCCTTGCTCTTTCACCAAACGCTGTGTAACTTGATCGTGGATCCCTTTCTACATTGTAATCACATCAAAGATAGAATATATATGATAGAATATAATACAATCAATGTCTAATACATTTTCACCTTAGTCAAATGTCTTAACCCTAACCCTAACAGTTCATAAAGGTAATCTTAGTATTTTTACTTTCTCGTATATACGAAGTATAGAGAAAGTCTTGTAATCGTGCAAAAAAAAAAAATCAAAATTTTTACAAATCTCGACGTTTTACACCTCACTGATACGGAAAAACATAATTTTGCAATCTTGTCCGCATGTCTGTGTGTCTGTCTGTCTGTCTGTCTGTCCGTGTGTAAACACGATAACTTGAGTACCGTTACAGCTAGGTTGATGAAATTTCATATATAAGTATTTTATCAAAATCGTAGATCCGTATCAACTTTTGAGCGATTTCCGATAACCGGAAGTGGTACTTTTTCTACTTTGAATTTTTCAAAAGCCTATAACTTAAGTACTATTTCAGATAGATAAATGAAATTTCACATGTAAGTAAAAGATCTAATTCTCTACCTTCTGTTAAATTTTGAGTAATTTCCGTTGACTGGAAGTAGTAATTTACGCTACTTACGATTTCTCAAAAAACTAATGTAAATTTTAAAAGTACTAATAATATTGCGCACTATTATGCGCTCTTTTATTTGGTGTTCACTTGGTGTGCAATTAATTTGTCTACGAGATTTTATTCTATTTTTAAAACTTTAAGTATTTAAAATGGATTAAAAATCATGTCTATAGCCCGAGTTCCCATCCCCTGTTATTTTATATAAGAATATTCGAGAAAGTTTAGGGGAGATCACTCCCGGTTTATTTAGTTAGGGTTCATATCTAGAGGGATATTTTTTTAACAGAATGATTATGTCTGGCACCTCTAAAAAACCTTATTTTGAATAAAATTATTTTATTTTAACTGTTAAGAATAACATTAAATTTCTTATTAAAAGTTAATTACAAGCAAAATAAAATATTGTGCTTAGAAAAGTAATTTACAATGATTAACAAATAGTCATGATTCTCAAGCATTCAAATGTAGTGCAGATCAATGCACTTTGCTATTCATGAAAATGTAAATATTGTTAAGCTACAGAAGATGGCTTGTTTAATGTTTTTAAGAATATAAACAGCCGAGTATAAGTCTAATCAGAGATTGGGTGTGCAAGATTTTGCATTGTGACATTACACTTTATTTTTTTAAGAACACAAATCTCAATGATCATTTGTTTTTAAACTAAAGCTTCAAAAATGCTTTTCCCATAAAATTATAAAATCAATAATTGTGTAATATGGTGTAACAACCGTACTTTAACTAAAAATAATTATTAGCATGTTAAAAATCCACTAACAACCTAATCTAAAAATAATATTGACTAAAATAATCTTTAACCAATTAGTCAAAACTTCATATATTACTGAAAACAATACAAACATTGCATACCTCTGTTGGAAACATCCACACCATTGCCCCAGTTCTCCAAGTCTTCTTCTTCAGGGGGCATCTGCACATCAGGGTCAGGATCCATTGTGAACTTCAACAAGTATCACATCCACGTCGAAAACATGAGACGCCTACAATATTTAAAGTCATATAGAGAATAACTGCCAATTGTATCTATTATCTTATCTTAGTTTAAAGTTTAACAGTTCAACTTACCTAGCAGTTAAGTTCAGTCTGGCCTTTAGTGGCATATAGGTGTCAAAGGTAGTCCATTCACTTGAGTCACTTTGATAAGATATATGATATTTATGTAAAGACACAATCACCCAATAAACAAATAAATTGGATAGATAGTCAATTTTAGACTAGCAACATCCACATTGATCGCCACTGGGCATCAAAATATGTTCCTGATTTAAAAAAAAAAAACATTGATATGTTTGTTTTAGCCTACCCACTCTAATCCTAAAGTGAGGAATCTAACCTTTTGCATGTCTGTCGATGTTATTTATTGGCTTGCACAAGGTATGTCTAATTTGTTGTGCATAGTTAATTTCGTTGCCAATATGGTTCTACCCAACTTTTTCCCGGTTATGGTGTTAATTTCTCACGATAATTGATGTCTCAGAACCATAGATTTCCCATGCTGTCAACTAGTCATATCTTGGAAGAACATCCAGATTGTGAGGAGGTTTTGGAAGTTCTCTAAAGTTTACTCTCACCTGTTTTCTTATTATCAGTGAGAGGAAGCTGCTTAGTAAAGCCCAGTAAGGATCCACTGGATTCAAAATTATCATTGGCAAAAGCATTTGACAAGCACAAGTATGTGATTTCTAATTTAGAATTTGTGTTTTTTTTTATCCCTTTAAAAATGATCAATGAGTTGAGTGAGAATCCTTTCATTATTCAATTTTAAATTATTGCCATGGGTAAAAACATGTTTTTGTCTATTTAGTAGTATTTAGCTTTCATAGTCATAGCAGCCATAAAATATAAATAGAAAAACTTAGATCTAGATTGAAAAAAAGTTAATGTTTAAAGAATCAATTAATTGTCAATTAGGCCTATTGCCTAGGCCCAATGTTTCAAATTTGGATTTTTTTGTGTGACAAAAGTAAAAAAAAAATAGGCCCATGTAGAATAATGTAGATCTAGATCTAGTAATAGTATGTTATCCACATCAACAACAATAACAAAAAAAATTAACAATACTCAATAATAAGTTCTTGCACCTAGAATGATAATAGTAATAGTAATCTAGTCAGATTCTAGATCCTCACTAGTAGTCCTAGTACTCTAGAGTCCTAGACTAGATCTAGTACAATATTAAGTATAGGGCCGCTGCGTGCCTCAATTCATTGATCATTCATGAAGCGCTTCTTCTGAGACTCTGAAGTCATCATGATCATCAAAGCAAGACTTTTACTTTTAGTCATTAGTCGAGGATTAGTTTTAACCCTAGCTAGGCACTGTCGTAAAACATATTTCAAATTTACAAAAAATGTATGCTTCTGTAGTTATATGTTAACCATTAAGCGTCAAATCAATAGAAACCGAACGCTTCCGAGTTTACCTTTATACAACGTTGTTTGACTTATCACACAAAATATTGGTTACTAAAAACACCGGCCATCTTGGGAGAATGTTATTTAGAGTAGTTTCCCCTTTATTATCGCGATTATACTTGACTAGGCATGCTGCCCAGCTTCGCTTAGGCTTTCGAAAACATTGAGAATTTGAATGCTTAATTAATTCGCCCGAGGGTCGGTCTACGACCTCAAGAGCTATGAAGAGGTTCCTCCGTGGACATTTTTTTTAAATTTATAGCTCATATAAGGTACCGGTCAGTCGATGTCAGTTTTTACCCCCTCATCGTAGACTTTTAGGCCAACCGGCCCCCGTGTTCTGTCGCCCCAAGGCAAGGTCCTGCCAAATTTGAAGCGCCTGCGGCGCCGGGAAGTGCCCTATCGGACACCCGACAATCTAGATCTAGATCTAGATTCCTAAAAGAATTTTTTTTTAAGTTTAGCCCGAGCATAATAAAAAAAAAAACATTAACCATGTTGACTTGGTGTGTCTCGAACCCGCACCACCTGCGTGGTTTAATGTACACTAACATCTCCGCTATTTACTATTTAGGCACCTTATAATGTACGGAGAATGAAACACGTATTTTAAAATCTTAACTTACGCGAATATGCCTATTTTTTCAAATTAATTTTTTTATCCCAAATTAGCCAGTTCCAAACAGAGATTTTGTATAAAATAAATAAGTCTTGAAATAGCTTAGTCCTAATATAGAAATTTATTTTTGGAATTGATTTTAGAGAAGTTAGAGTCTAAATCTAGATCTTAGCGTCTACGTCTAGATCTAGTTATTGCGTAGATTTAGATTTAGTCTAGATCTAGAATCTCTAGATCTAGAATCCAAATACATAAAATAAATTTTATGAGTTTAGGCCGGAAAAATTGTATTGTATACATTTCATAGTGTACGTAGATCTAGATCTAAATCAAATTTGAATGAAATAGTTCATTTCTTTTCATTCTAAACACGGCAGATGACGTCATTAGTTAATGTATAAGCAATAGTGACGTCACAGTTTTGTGCGTTCTTTTTCACATATATTATTGCTTTTCCGGTTGCATAAATAATACTGTTTCTCTACATTCGAATACGCCTTTAATTTTTATTTTTCTTCTTTAACTAAAATTGTGGTTATACATTTAAAACATCTAACATATTATTTTCAACAAAAGTCCGTATAAAGTTCTGCATATATCGCTGCCGTTTCTGACGTGATGTCCGGCGAAAATATTTTGCGGACAGACAGAGAGAGAGAGAGAGAGAAGAGCGCACATGGCCTTTTATAAATTAGGATTATAGGCCTTGTATTGTGCATAGGCAACATTTATTACTCTGGTACATGATGTTTATTAACAAGTAAAAACAATTTGAGCCTAATATTATCTAAAATTGTCAGTACTAAATGGTAACTTGTCCTGTGGAAGGCACATTCACCCTTGCTAGAATTCTAGATCTACCCAGGCTAAAAAAAGTAATGGTAATCTGATTATCTACTCATCTAGGACATGCCAATTTGCTTTTTAAAAAAAAACTAAAAATTTAATAAAAATTTGGACATGATCAATATATCTAGACTAGGCCAGATTGTGTTATAATAAAATATTGAAAGCGATAAACACATAATGCAAACAAACTGAAGGAAGTCATGATAACAGAAAATAATCACTTGTTTAATCAAAATATATAAATAAAAAAAAAAAAGTTGTGCTGCATGCTGTAATTTGTAATGTTTTCTAGCATACAGAAATAAGCATTAAAAAAAAATCGCATCTCCAGTTATAAAATATAGCCAGGTTTTAAGAAAACAAAACATTGAAATAACAGGCTGCAGAGAAAACAGTCCAGAAAAACATGAAAACAGACAAACCCAAGAAAACAGCAGAAAAACTCATGAAACCAGCACAAAAACCCAAGAATAAAGCAGAAAAACCCAAGAAACTAGCACAAAAACCTATGAAACTAGCACAAAGCCCAAGAAAAAAGCAGAAAAAACCAATGAAACCAGCACAAAAACCCAAGAAAAAAAAATAACACAAACTACCACAAAAACCCAAAAAACCCAAGAAACTAGCACAAAAATCCAAGAAAACAGCAGAAAACCCCATGAAACCAGGTGATGAAATTAGGTGTAGCAAACCTGAAGCTAAAACTGAATTGGTTTGATAAAATGGGCTTCATGATAACACAATAAATAGATTACAAATTTTAAAACAAAATATTTCATTTGTTAAATTATCATTTAACTATTGACTCTGAATTAGTTTGAAAATATTACTCTGCTATCATCACTGCAAGCATTATATTAAAGATATAAAGTTCAATATTATGAAGGTAAGCATTTAAGATTTAAAGTTCATATTACCAGGGTCAGTATGATTTAAATGTGAATATTTTCAGGGTAAACATTACATCAGAGATTTAAAGTTTAATATTACCAGGGTAAACATTACATCAGGGAGCTTTAAATGCCATGTGACGAGCGCTGATGGTACGCTTTGACTACGTCATTTTGTAAGCATCGTGGTCTGTACTCAGAGGACAGGTAAAGTGTGACCCATTTGTAATGTTATAGTGGGCGGGGCCAGTTGCACATTATTGTGGGCGGGGGCAGTTGCACATTATTATTGTGGGCTGGGCCAGTTGCACATTATTATTGTGGGCATAGCGTGCTGGACATCAATGTTAATTATTATTGTTGGGACAAGCTGGATCACATACATTGATCATGGACTTGAAAAATGGGGTGGATTTGTAAAATATGCTTATAAAATATTTCGCTACAAAAAATATTTAAGAATAGATATCCTGATATTAAGATAAGAAATTTAACAAATGAAATAATCTGTTTTAAAAGTTACTTTATAAGCTGGTTGAATAAAGATAGTGTTTGGATGTGATAAAAAGGTTGAGTGCGATAAGGTTGAATACAATGAAATGGTTGGGTGGGATTAAACTGTTGAATGTGTGAAAGTGGTTAGGTGTCCTAAACTGTCTGATGTAACATAGGTATAGTGTCAACACTTTAGCATACAGGTTATAGTCTTAACACTATAATTCACAAGTATAATGGCAACACACACAAGCATACAGTTACAGTGGCACTGCACACAAGCATACAGGTATAGTGGCAACGCGCACAAGCATACAGGTATAGTGGCAACGCGCACAAGCATACAGGTATAGTGGCAACGCGCACAAGCATACAGGTATAGTGGCAACACAGCCAAGCATACAGGTATAGTAGCAACACGCACAAGCATACAGGTATAGTAGCAACACGCACAAGCATACAGGTATAGTGGCAAAACGCACAAGCATACAGGTATAGTGGCAAAACGCACAAGCATACAGGTATAGTGGCAAAACGCACAAGCATACAGGTATAGTAGCAACACGCACAAGCAAACAGATATAGTGGCAGCTTGATAGCATACAGGTAAAGTGGCAGCTTGATAGCATACAGGTCAGTGAAATTTCATATATTGGAAACATGAGCATACGTGTATAGGGGCAAAACAATAGCATACAGGTAGAGGCAACACTGGCATACAAGTATAGTGGCAAAACACAAACATACAGATAGTGGCAGCTAGATAGCATACAGGTATAGTGTCAAGTTAAATGTCATATAGTGGAAATATGAGCATACATGTATAGGGTAAAACAACAGCATACAGTAAAGTGGCAACACACTAGCATAAAAGCTGCTTATGATTGTAGACTGAAGTAAAGAAAAAAGACCTATTAGTTTTAAGACACTAAAAAATTTATCTCAAATACAGAGAGCACGGTCTTGAAAGAAAAATGTATGTTCTGATGACAAGAAAAGAATAGATAAAAATGGCACATGTTTTAGGTTCTACACTACCATACATAATTTGGCAAACATGTTGCTGGGATATAAGTGTCAAATTGTGAGCATGTTGGGATTAAGTGTTAGAATTGTATAGAAGGTAGCTCTGTGTGTGAAATGAATTATAGCAAACCTAAAGCTAAAACTGAATTGGTTTGATAAAATGGGCTTCATGATAACACACAATAAATAGATTACAAATTTCAAAACAAAATATTTCATTTGTTAAATTAACATTTAACAATTGAATCAGAATTAGGTTGAATATATTACTCTGCTATCATCACTGCAAGCATTATATTAAAGATATAAAGTTCAATATTACAAAGGTAAACATTTAAGATTTAAAGTTCATATTACCAGGGTGAGTATGATTTAAATTTCAACATTTTCAGGGCAAACATTACATCAGAGATTTAAAGTTTAATATTACCAGGGTAAACATTACATCTGAGATTTAAATGTGAATATTTTCAGGGTAAACATTACATCAGAGATTTAAAGTTTAATATTACCAGGGTAAACATTACATCAGGGAGCTTTAAATGCCATGTGACGAGCGCTGATGGTACGCTTTGACTACGTCATTTTGTAAGCATCGTGGTCTGTACTCAGAGGACAGGTAAAGTGTGACCCATTTGTAATGTTATAGTGGGCGGGGGTAGTTGCATATTATAGTGGGTGGGGCCAGTTGCACATTATTTTTGTGGGCGTAGCATGCTGGACATCAATGTTATTTATTATTGCTGGGGCATGCTGGATCTCATACATTTATCATGTACTTGAAAAATGGGGTGGAATTGTAAAATATGCTTATGTAATATTTGGCCACAAAAATAGTTTTAGGATTTCCTGATATTAAGACAAAAAATTAAACAAATGAAATAAACTGTTTTAAAAGTTACTTTATAAGCTGGTTGAATAAATATAGTGGTTGGATGTGAAAAAAAAGGTTTAGTGCGATAAGTTTGAATGCAATGAAATGGTTGGGTGCGATTAAACTGTTGAATGTGTGAAAGTGGTTAGGTGTCCTAAACTGTCTGATGTAACATAGGAACAGTGGCAACACTTTAGCATACAGGTATAGTCTTAACACTATAATTCACAAGTACAGTGGAAACGTGTACAAGCATACAGGTATAGTGGCAACACACCCAAGCATACAGGTATAGTGGCAACGCACTAGCATACAGGTATAGTGGCAACACACCCAAGCATACAGGTATAGTGGCAACACACCCAAGCATACAGGTATAGTGGCAACGCACTAGCATACAGGTATAGTGGCAACAGGCCCAAGCATACAGGTATAGTGGCAACACGCACTAGCATACAGGTATAGTGGCAACACAGCCAAGCATACATGTATAGTGGCAACACTGGCATACAGGTATATCGCAGCTTAATAGTGTACAGGTATAGTGGCATCTTAAGCATCCAGGTATAGTCGCAACACAAGCACACAGATATAGTGGCAGTTAAATAGCATAACACTAGCATACCTGTATAGTGACAACACACAAGCATACAGGTATAGTTGCACCTTAATAAGTTAATAGCATACAAGTATAGTCACAGCTTAATAGCATACATGTATAGTCGCATCACACTAGCATACAGGTATAGTCACAGCTTAATAGCATACAGGTATAGACGCAGCTTAATAGAATACAGGTATAGTCGCAGCTTAATAGCATACAGATATAGACGCAGCTTAATAGAATACAGGTATAGTGGCAACATGCACAAGCGTACAGGTACAGTGGCAACACTGGCATACAGGTAAATCACAGCTTAATAGCGTACAGGTATATCGGCAGCTTAAGCATACAGGTATAGTCGCAACACGAGCACACAGATATAGTGGCAGCTTAATAGCATAAAACTAGCATACCTGTATAGTGACAAAACACACAAGCATACAGGTATAGTTCAGCTTAATAGCATACAGGTATAGTGGCATCACACTAGCATACAGGTATAGTGGCAAAATGCACAAGCATACAGGTATAGTGGCAACAGGCCCAAGCATACAGGTATAGTGGCAACACGCACTAGCATACAGGTATTGTGGCAACACGCACAAGCATACAGGTATAGTCGCAACACGCACAAGCATACAGGTATAGTGGCAACACGCACAAGCATACAGGTATAGTGGCAACACGCACAAGCATACAGGTATAGTCGCAACACACACAAGCGTACACGTATAGTCACAACACACACAAGCATACAGGTATAGTCACAACACACACAAGCATACAGGTATAGTCACAACACACACAAGCGTACAGGTATAGTCACAACACACACAAGCATACAGGTATAGTCACAACACACACAAGCATACAGGTATAGTCACAACACACACAAGCATACAGGTATAGTTGCAACACTGGCATACTGATATATCACAGGTGTACAGTGGCAGCTTAAGCATACAGGAATAGTCGCAACACGAGCACACAGATATAGTGGCAATTTGATAGCATACAGGTAAAGTAGCAGTTAAGTAGCATAACACTAGCATACCTGTATAGTGACAACACACAAGCATACAGGTATAGTCGCAGCTTAATAGCATACAGGTATTGTTACAGCTAAATAGCATACAGGTATAGTGGCATCACACTAGCATACAGGTATAGTGGCATCACACTAGCATACAGGTATAGAGCAACACAAGAGCATACAGGTATAGTGGCAACACGCACAAGCATACAGGTATAGTGGCATCACACTAGCATACAGGTATAGTGGCAATTCTAGCATACTGGTATAGTGGCAGTTAAATAGCATAACATTAGCTGATGGTTATAGCGGCAACACACAAACATACAGGTATAGTTGAAGATTAATAGTATACATGTATAGTGGATGCACTGGCATACAGGTATGGTGAAAAAAATCAATACCCAAGTATAGTAGAAACACTAGCATTAGCACTAGAATACGGGTATAGTGGCAACATACCAAAGCTAGCAGACAGGTATAGTGGCAGTATGTCAGCAATAAATTAAGCATGCTAAAACAATGACTTTTGTCACTGACAATAGTCAAAGAGACTAAAAATAGAGGCAGTTATTTTTTAAAATTAAAGCGACACAGCCTGAAGATACAATGTGATCAATTAAACTAAAAGTAAGAGTGGTAGATGTAAATGTGTTGATGTAAATGTTTACTAGGCAGTACCCTCATGTCAAAAGGGAAATATAAATTGCAGAACAGAGCTAGATGTAGGGAACAGGTGAAGATTTATTTATTGGTTAACAATTCAAGGTATAAAATGAAAGAATTTGAATAAAGTAAGGTATATATAGGACTACTTGCGTAAATAGTTCAAGTTTACGTCCAGTAGTAAACTATTTTTTGGTACACAGTATACAGTGTGATAAGACAGACATAAGCATGGTTGAATGGTGCTCTTTGCAAATAAAGATAATCCACCTTATTTTTATCAAATGGTCATAGACAACAGACTGACAGACAAATGAATTGTCTAAATTATATAATATGGCCCAACTGAAAGACACAGACCAATCTGAACGAGACTCATTTGAATGGCATGGTCCATGATATCGGAATAACTTAGACCCAACTGAATGCCATGAACCAACTCAGCGACAGACCAAACTGAATGACATGATCCAACTCAGTGATAGATCCAACTTAAGATAGAGGCCCATGAGAATGACAAGATCCTTAGACCCAGCAAACGTGTGCCAACCAACACAAACATTTAGAAACATCTTGATTCAGAGAGAGGATAAAAACTATTTGGCATATTTTATATCTGAAAACAGATTAGCACACTTAAATGTTAAGGAAACATTTATATAAATGATCATGAATATAAAATAAACATTATTAATGATTTAAAATGTATCCTCAATTAGAACTTGAATCCATGTTGCTAACTAGATAATGCTTCTTGTGTCAGGAACACTAACTCCAAGGGAGCTAATCCTACTTTGTTCCATACATCAAAGGAGTTAGCAAACTTTTTTGGTAGGCCTACACACACAAGATTAAATGCAATCAGGTTGTTCTAGAATATAACTATTTTAAATAGGAAGTAGATCACATGTTATCATTAACTGCATCTGCATGATGTTAGCTGAAAAATTTATTTAGTAGCCAGTCTTATGAGCGCTGTAAATTGAATACGCTTGAGTTGCTGAAGAAGATGGTAGCAGATGCCTTGCTTGGAGTTAAGTTTGTAAAATAAGTCTGCTCTAAGCTCAGAATGAGAGTTTAGGTGACAACTGTTTGCTTGAAGCTGAGGTTAAACAGATGGTTTGCTTGGAGATTAGTTTTATAAGATGGAGCTGTTCTGAGACAACAAGACGAAGCTGTTCTGAGCAAACAAGACGAAGCTGTTCTGAGCAAACAAGACGAAGCTGTTCTGAGCAAACAAGACGAAGCTGTTCTGAGAAAAAAAGATGATTTGCTTGAAGCTGTTCTGAGCAAACCAGATGAAGCTGTTCTGAGCAAACAAGATGATTTGCTTGAAGCTGTTCTGGGCAAACAAGATGATTTGCTTGAAGCTGTTCTGAGCAAACCAGATGAAGCTGTTCTGAGCAAACAAGATGATTTGCTTGAAGCTGTTCTGAGCAAACAAGATGAGGCTGTTCTGGGCAAACAAGATGATTTGCTTGAAGCTGTTCTGAGCAAACCAGATGAAGCTGTTCTGAGCAAACCAGATGAAGCTGTTCTGGGCAAACCAGATGAAGCTGTTCTGAGCAAACCAGATGAAGCTGCTCTGAGCAAACCAGATGAAGCTGTTCTGAGCAAACCAGATGAAGCTGTTCTGAGCAAACCAGATGAAGCTGTTCTGAGCAAACCAGATGAAGCTGCTCTGAGCAAACCAGATGAAGCTGTTTCGAGCATACAAGATGATTTGCTTGAAGCTGTAAGCAGACAGAATGGTGCTGGTGTTCTCCCCTTGGTCCAGTGTGAAGTCCTGGTCGTCTCCCCTTGCTCCTGAGTAAAGTCCGGGTGTTCTCCCCCTGCTCCAGTTGTCCAGGTGGTTTCCCCTTTGTCCAGTGTAAAGTCCTTGTTGTCTTTTCCTGTGCAGTCTTTTTGGTCTCTATTTTTACAACACCTGTGGTTAACAAAAAAAAGGTAAGTACTAGAGTATGGATAATAAAACTAACCACAAGTTAACCAACGATGCAAAAAATTTACCATCTGTATGAAGCTGGTTATTATCTGGATACCACCTCCCTTATTTCTAAGACTTGAGCAGCTCATATCTGAATGAAAGTATTAATGACATATACATAAATATAAATGGTGCTATAATACAACATGCAAACATTTATACTGTTGTTTAAACTAGGAAAATGGCAGACATTTACCTGGTCTTCACTCAGCTGACTGAATGTTAAGATTAACCAGCAGCACACAGCCTATACTTAATTCTCATTTCACAAACCATGACCTGAAATCTACAAAATTTAAATGGTTATTTTTATCTCTGGTAAAGAGCAAACCTTCAAGAGTGAAAGATATTTTTCTTGAACAATCTGAAAACATTTAACGAAATGAAACTTATTTAAAACTCATAAAACCATAACCAATTCCTTTTCAATATAAGTGTACCAATATTTAACCAAAGAAACAAATGTTAAGAAATAGAAGAAATTTAAAACATGTATTGAAGATAAAAAGAAACAACATATACAGTAACATACAAGTTTCCTGAAAAAAAGGTATGAATAAATTAAAGTAGATTATTTATTTAAAAGCCAGCAGCATAAACGAGCCACACAATTATCTAATAATGCTTGTATATAAATATAAAGGAAAACAAAAAGATCAAACAATGTTAAAGCACATGTTGAAGAGTCTGTATTTATAACTATAACCAAAGCTGGAATAAAACCATTGTGTGATATTCATATAGATTTAGTAAACCCAATTAAATGCTTTAGGATTCTTACAAAGGAATCAAACCATGACTTGTCATAGATTCATGCAGGAAGAATACTTATGATATTTATGTAGAAAACAGACAAAGAAAAGCTTGAAATAAAGTATAACAATTGCTAAAATTAGATAAAATTAGCCAAAGTAATTAAGTAATGCATTTTTGTAGAGGCTTACTATACTAATATTAAAATATTTAGTAATTACATGTGTATTCATTATAAACCATAAACATAAAATATATATATATATATATATATATTCGGCCTACATGTAGGCCATATACAGGATTTAGCATATATTAAAATATTTAAAGCAATGATAAAATTTAAGTTCATAGACATTTAAACTCATTGATTAGTAGAGTAAATAGATTACATTACTAATTAGAAATGTAATTATTAGCATCAGTTTTACATACATCAAGTTTGATATTTTAAACATAGAAAGTAATGTGTATATGTATCAAAAAAATAAAATAGAAAACTCAAAATGCTGAACAGAAAAGTAACAATGAGTACATATAATAGGCATGTTATATGTTCATATAGGCTACTTATTTTGTGTGTGTTCTGTCAATTCATACAAATGCTATCAAAATTCAACAATGATTAGTAAACATTTCACCAATATATATAAATTTAAAATATAGTTTGTGCAGAATTCTGTTGCCAGAAAAAGTGTTTGTTAGTCATTTTTATGTTTAAGAAAGAAGTGGAAGTTTTAAAAATAAACTACCTGATAAATAGGCTACACATGTTTGATATTAAACTATAATGGAATAAAGAATAAGTGCTTAGAATAGTATTCTGTAAATTAACATTCATCAAGAAAAGATTGACAAATTGCAATCAATGTTCAGGTTATAAAATGTTGCATCGTGTATTGTTATGTAGGCCTATACAAGGGAGAAGATTCAATGAACAAACAATTTTAAAAGATCATACTATCAATTTAAAGTAAGTTAACTGTAGGCTGAAAGTAATTAGCTATTGATTAAAGTAATAGTCTAATTTAAATGTTTAAAATTACAAATATGATAAATAAATAGGCTTATAGAAAGGCCTGAAGATATAAGCTTAGACAAGTAGAAGATGTAGAGATAAAATAGAAATAAAGGGTAGGCCTATATAAGCCTACAATTATTAACTCATCTTTATCGAAACACTACAAATACATCATATATATATATAATAATTGTAACTATATTATAAATATAGGCCTATTGAAAGGCCTGTAGATAAATCAGCAAAGATGGTGAGTAGGTCTATATAGACTTATAATTATTAATTAATCTTTAAAGAATCTACAAGTAGGCCTACATCATAGGTCATATAATTATATAATAATTGTAACCCAATTATAAAATACATAGGACTATAGAAAGGCCTGTAGATAAATCTGCATAGAGATAGAAGATGTATTGTATAGATAACACATAAAGAGTAGACCTTTACTTTAAAGGGCCTAATTAATCTTTTGATTTAAAGAAACACTACAAATACATCAATCATAATAATAACAAAATATTGCATAAAGAAACATTTAAAGTAAATGTAAAAACTAAAATTTAAATTTTTAAATAAATACCTATAGGCCTATAAGTATCAGTCATATTGTTAAAATTTAAAACTATTTACAATTCAGATCTTTTAGATATATGCAATGATTAATCAATGATTGATTAGTAAAATAGTAAATAAGAATGAAAGCAATGTAGCAGGAGTGAATCAATTATAATACAAAATTAATAATGATATAACATAGATCTACATAGAAAAGAGAAACTTGAAAATTAAATTGAAGATATAGAATCTAGATCTAATTCTATACATTATACAAGCAAATGTAAAAGTATTACAAACTTCTATTTTAGTCCTATAATTAATTAATAATATTTGCTAAATAAAATATTACTAAATAAAAGTAAAAGGCAAAAGGTAAATTTAAATACTATTTAATAAATAGTAAATAAATCTCATAGTAAATACAAATAATAAACTTTATCTTGGCAAATATTTTTAGCTGGAATTTCCTAGTTACTGCCACCCTAGTCTGTCCCACCTGATCACACAACAGATGACAGTGAACCGTCAGCCAAGTGACCTTACAGCAAGCCTACAGCCAAGTGACCACACAGCGCGCTATGTGAACTCATGTGTCTACACACAACTCACTGAACTCAATGTTGATGTTTGGTTTTTTAAATTGACCAATGGACATTTAGCTTTCAGTGAATAATAATAAATGGGTTATAAATAGATTAACATATGCCAACTATCTGTGATTCTGTGAAGGCTAAAAACGAGTTGTGTGTTGTTCCCCCCCCCCCACCCCCATTTCCGACCACATAACATCAGTGTTTATTTTCAGACTTTTTGGTTGGGTACTTTAATCTCTTGGAGGGGGGGGGGGGGCTAAATGTTTCCGGAAGGGGTGGCGGACACTTGTAAAAGTATACATTTTAAAAAAATTAGTGAGAAGGTGGACTTGCATTGGGGGGGGGGGGGGGGGGGCAATGCCCTTCGGACGACTCGGACGAGATGTCTGAAAGAAACTCAGCACAACACACAACAGTGAGTTAGTTTTGTTTAACACAGTTGTTACTTTTATAAAACCTATTGTTGAATACAAATATAAACGAAATAGACAGAACTTTAACAGAGAGCAAAACAGTTAAATGTAGCTTAGGATACGAACTCAACGATAAATCTATTTAGGGAACCTAAGGGGGGGGGGGGGGCAGGAAAGCGTAAATTATATGGGGCCGTTCATAAACGAAGTCATGTTATTAAGGTGAAAGTGTTTGGACTTTTGTGTTGATATATAACACCATGAAGGGAAGAGGTTCAAAAGGTAAAGACACTCAAAGCATGTTTAAAAGTAAGGTTAGAAACTGAATTTTAGCCCTCAGGAGTTGCCCATAAACGAAGCTTTACTGGAAGGAGGAGGGGGACATAACGCTTGTAAATTGTAAAATAAGATTTAACGTCAATATTGATTAAATTTTGTAAGCTAATTAAGGGGATATAACCATGCCATAATAGTTTTGATAAAAATATTAACTGAGTAGTCTCCCATTGAATGATAATTGCCCATAACAAATTACTACTGAATAAAATCGTCCAGTGGGTAGAAGATGTACAGGTCACCTATTTCTGTGCCCTCGACATATGAAGGAATAGTGTGTTCAGCACTATGCCTAGTTGCCTTTTCTTTCCCTAACGAGAGTCAAGTAGCCCACATATGAATCAAAACTTGAGACTTTCGGTTTGGCAGTCGTGTGCAGTATCGCCCGTCCACGCCGTTCCTAACGAATTTTTTTATTATGGAAGGGGTTATAAAACCCTGACACTCCCTGCCTCAACCAGTAAGAGTTGGGGTGACAAGCAGCAACCTTAGCGGCCGCATAGTTTCTATCAAGCATCTTTTTTTTTTTTTTTTTTTGGGGGGGGGGGGATGACGACCCACGGACACTTCCTCACCCCCTCTTCCCTTACCCCAGGGGAAAAAAAAGTTTTGACAACTCATTTCTATAACATCATCATTTACAACGTGCAAATGAAAAAAAAAGTGAGAAAAAGTTATAAAATAAATTTTAAAAGTCACAATAGTGGGATCAACCAAGTTTAGGACAAGCTAAAACATTTAGAATGTACAGATTTTGATGCATAATTTAATAACTAAGATATTTTGCTGTATGCAAGTAAAAATTTCGAAGTTTTGCTTTTATTTCATTTTGTAATCCGATTATAAGTAGGATGCACTTTTGTCTACCACGCAATCGAAGTCAACTAAATAATCAGTATGTCCAGGTTTTTGTTTACCACATTTGACCTCCCCATTGGATCTGCACTCTAGCCCCACCCCTTTAGCGACGCCTCTGAATGTTGGATGCCATCGTTTATATTTTTAACCTGAAAAGGATAAGGGTTTGGGGTAACTATTTTACATTATGATTGTGTGGTAATACAAAATTTCAGTGCTCGACATAGTTTCTTTTAGGCATCTCTTGGGGGAGGGGGGGGTGTCGGAAGGTGGTGAGGCGCTCCTTCC